TTTTTGTAGCACTTGCAGTCTTTTTGAATATGCATAGCGCAAGGTATTTTGGTTTTTGGGAAGACGGTAAAGAACTGGGAATCTTTAGTTTTTCAAAGTCACTGTTTCCAGCTTGCTAAAAAGTAAGGGTATGTTTCACTCTTGAATCCAGAGCGTTGGGTGCGGGAAACTTTGTCTAACAGTTAGCACAGTAATAATATTTAGTGGAAGAAACTAATGGTGGTTGCCCAGGCGTAGTTTGGATGGAATGTCCTGGGGCAGTTGGGGAAGAGGCCGGCAGGAGCAGATTTGCCAGTTATGCGCTAAAATGTGAACTTTTATTTAGGGGTGTGAATTTTGGTCGTAATACGGCAGTTTCTGCAACCAGGGCTCCTTCGTGTAGGTGTGGTTAGGGTCAGTTTAATGAGCAAATTATTAGTGTAGGGCAAGTGATTTTTTTCTGATTTGTGGTGCATGGCTGACACATATGAACTGTCAGATCAAAAATACTTCGAGAGCGGATCAGTGAGGAACTTGCTGCGGAGACTTCCTGTTGAAAAAATAAATTTGATTAAGAAAGGTAACATTGTCCGGTCTTTCATCGTTGAATCGGATTAGTTATCGGTCATGTACATCCTACCTTTAGGAGATGCAGCTTACAGAGGAAAGAGAATGGTTTTAAAGATAAAATAACTAAGAATGGAAAGCAAAAAAATCAACTTTTAGAACTTACGTAAGGAGTTTTAACTTAATGGAAAGAATTAAAGGAAGCAAGGTATATACAAAGTATTCTGATCTTGGTACCTTTTACCCAGCTGCTCTGCACTCTTGTTTCGTCCGCCAAACCGCGGTTTTCTCGCCGTAGGCTTACTCTCTTAGAACATAGTACAATATTTGAGTGAGATGAAGCAAGAAAAAGCATCAGTAAAAGAATTTAAATGCAAGGAGTAATACAAGAGGGACCACTTAACATAGGACGGATTAGTTGAGGCGTCTACGACTCACTCGGAACAATGAAGGACCCCTGAAGCAGGGAGAAGCCCGAGAATAAAACTGATTTTTAGGAACTTTGTATCAAAAGACCTCTCTCATTGTCCCACATACTCCTCTCGTTAGGTAGACGAGTTCTCTCTCTAAGTATTTTCAGGCAGAGTGAAAGTCAAGTCCGTGAGTGGATTGGTTGTCGTAGCTAGCATTTCATAACAGGTCGTTCTTCGAAAGAAGCAAAGAGCATGAGTCACCGCTGTACTCGGCCTTCTTAATTTTTAAAAAGGTTTCTGAATGAAAAAAAAAGGTAGGGGAAACCATAAGAGCACTGCAAGGGTAAGAAGGCAGCATTGCAGCACTTATATCAAACTTAAGAAAGAAAGGAACGCAGGATGCGTGGAGCAATGATTGACTGAGAACACTTTCTGATGGACTCACTGAACGAAATGAAATCGAAAAAAGGAAAGGTAAGGTTGATAGAAAATTTAGCTAAAATAGTTAACAACCAGTGGATGATAAAGTTCTTTCGCTAGTGTCATAAAAGGGTGAGATGACCAAAGCCATGGCTTTAATTAGATGGGTATCGGACAGAGAGGGTATATATAAAATGTTTACGAAGGACTCGATCTGATCGGAGCAGCTTCTTTGGAAATCTACCGTTTAAGCAGTCAATAATAAAAAATCGAAGTTGTGGTTCTAGCACTGGATTTCTGGTAAGAAAAAAATATTGTGTAGTAGCAATTTATTGACCGTTGACGAATGGGCTCGTCTATTAGTTTTAGTTTGTTTTTTTACTTATCAAAGCACTTAGCTTCGTTTACTGTAGGCGTCTGTTTGCTTTTTTAAAATTGTATTTTTATACTTCTTTTTTTCTTGTCAAATTTTGAATTATTTTTCAATTAGTTTTTGAAAAAGAAACAGTAAGTAGTTTTGAGGTAATTTGATTAAGCTGAGTAGCTGCGGCATTACGACGGTGCTAAGTTTTTGCTCAATGCAATTTTTATGTCGACTGTTTCTAAACATAGTTTTATGCCGGTACGAATTCATCGTCGTATTTGAATTCAATAGACAAAGTGAAAAGAATGATCTTTTAAAGATGGTATTGAGATTAATTAAGGCTATTAAGAAATTGTTGAGTGGTTATATCTTTTAGCCTAAAAACTAGTTTGATTGCAGAAGAACAATATCTTATAAGCTTTTTGAGGTGAACTCATTAATTTAATTGTTGAAGATTACCCATCGTATGCTTCGCAGAGAATTATGAAAAGCTTTGTAATCTACTTTTTCTCCTAGCTTTACTCTGTTGTTTCATCATCGCTTCCACATTATTTCTGCTAGCAAACAAAAATTCACTGTCGCAAATAATCCTTAGTTGAAAATTAAACACAAAATGATTGTGACTTATAATGAGGCCTAAACTGTGCTTATGAACTGGGAAAAAGAATTTTTAGTTTTTTTGTCATCTGATAACCATTTTCATTTGCGTAATTTTCGATTAAGGCGATTTTTATACATGTATTTTACATATATAATTTTTATATATTTGTAAAATTGTTCAAATACAGTGGTAAAAACTGATGAAAAATAATGCTGCAAGTCTTTCTGTTTATAAATGTGATTTAATAATTGTGCAGTGAATAAAAATGATTGGTAAATATCGGTAAATAATTTATTTTTATAAACATCAACTGTTAGTTTACTAGCTCAACCGTATTGGTGCACATTGATGAGACCAAGAGTCTTGTATAGTTTTGTTGTCTTCTAAGTCTGAAAATTTTCAAATTCTATAAAGATAATGATATATATATATATATATATATATATATATATATATAAAAATATATATATATATATATATATTAAATAAACAAATAAATAAATATATATATATATATATATATATATATATATATATATTAGTTTATATATATATATATATATATATATATATATATATATATTATATATATATATATATATATATATATATATATATATATAGGTGCTGTGCTTAAGAGTGCGTATTTTTGTTTGTGGTCGTCCCCAAAATCCTTACAACTTTTTGGTTTATCAAACAGCTTTTGAGAAAAATCGCAGTAATTAAGCAGATATTTAACTGGTTTTCTTACCAGTTTTAGTTGTTTCTGGAAGTACTATATTCTATTCTATGTAAACTTACGTTCTTGCTGTTTCTGGTCGAGTATGTATAAACTTTCAATGATATTTTTGCCTTTTTGTAATAGAGAAACATCATCAAAACATAATTCAGTTAAGAAACAACAAAGTAGATAAATCAGAATAGATGTGAACTGATCAGAAGCAGAAAAAGTTTTTCTGTTTTAATGCTGACAGCTGAAGGATACGGTATAACGAGCGTCTTTATTGTTCATCGTTTTTTTTTTCCGTTCTGTTTATTTTGGGCAATCGAAGAATAATTTTTTTTCATTTTTGTCATCAGAAATTTCAAGTGATTCTTATCAAGACAATCTAGTTTTTTTTTTTTTT